TCCCCTACTCTGGTAAAAAGACCTTGGCTGTTCACCTTATCCATGCCCCTCATGATTTTGTAAATCTCTATAAGGTCACTCCTCAGCCTCTGATGCTCCAGGGGAAAAAAAAGCCCCAGCCTATTAAGTCTCTCCCTAAAGCTCAAACCCTCCAAATCCGACAACATCCTTATAAATCTTTTCCAAACCCTTTCAAGTTTAACAACTTCTTTCCTATAACAAGGAGACCAGAATTGAATGCCGTATTCTCAAAGTGCCTTCACCATTGTCCTGTATAGCCTTTTTCTAAAATGACACCGACACAGGGCAACTCTTTGCAAGATCTCTATAGTAGATTTTATTCTCACATTTCTTACAATTGGTCTGCACTTTTAAACCTCGATTCTGAATGTCAAAGTGATGAACAATATTCTCTTAAATCTACACACGTACAAACAGATTCAAGAACAGCTTCTTCTCCACTGTTATTAGACTTCTGAATGGATCTCTCAAATTTCAAACGTAATGTTGGTCTTGTTTTTTGTGCACCTTCTTTGCAGCTGTAACTTTGCATTTCGTTGCCCTTTTCAGTCACCCTATGATCTACCTGTACTGCATACAGAACAAAATATTTCACTTTACTTAGGTACATGTGACAATAATAAATCCAATCAAATCAAAGCCACCACATGACTCCCAACTCCTATACTCAGTGCACTGACCAATGAAGGCATGCATGTTAAACGCCGCCTTCACCAACGTGCAACTCCACTTTCAAGGACCTATACACCTGAACCCTTGGGTGTCTTGGTTTGGCAATACTCTCCAGGGCCCTACCATTGAGTGTATAAGTCCTGCCCTGGTTTTCCTCACATTTATCTAAATTAAAGTCCATCTGCCACTCCTCAGCCCATTGGCCTATCTGATCAATCTCCCATTATACTCTGAAATAACCTTCTTCACTGTCTACGACACCACCAATTTTGGTGTCACCTGCAAATTTACTTATCATAACTCCTATATACACAACCAAAACATTTACACAAGTGGACCCAGCATTGATCCTTGTGGCACACCAGTGGTTATAGGCCTCCAGTCTGAAAAACAACCCTGTACCACCAGCCTCTGTCTCCTACCTTCAAGTCAATTTTTTGTCCAATTGGCTAGCTCCCCGTGGATTCCATGCAATCTAACCTTGCTAATCAGTCCAGCATGTGGCTTGCTGAAGTCCATATAGACAATGTCTACTGCTTTGCCTTGCATCAAACTTCTTTGTAACCTCTTAAAATCTCAACCAAGTTAGTGGGACATGATTTCCCACACAAAGCGTTGTTGACTATCCCTAATCAGTCCTTGCCTTTCTCCCCTTTGAAGCCTCCCTCTTCACCCTCACTCCCACCCTCCCTAACAGTATGTCTCCCCTCCCCCAATTGTAGCCTTATTGGCCAGGCCACCCCACACCTTCCCAGCATCACAACTCTGGTTTCTTGTTCATCTTTCAGCCTTTTATCTCCACTACTCAGCACCTCGCTACTTCTCCTTTGTCCAACTGTTCTCTTTCTTTGGGCTCTATCCCCACCTATCATTTACTCCTTACACCTTCCCTCCCCCACCCCACTCTATTTTCTGCATAAAGAACAACTTTTTCCTAGCTACCATCAGTTCTGAGGAAGGGCCATGACCTGAAAAGTTAACTCTGATTTCTCTCCACAGATGCTGCCACACCTGCTGAGCTTTTCCAGCAATTTCTGTTTTTGTTTCTGATTTTCAGTATCTACAGCTCTTTTGATTTTTTTTAATGAAGTTACAGTGTTAGTGGTTTAAGAAAAGCACTAAGAACATGGATGTGGCCAGTGGGACTTATTAAAGTGGTAAAGGGGATCCCAGTGGAAGCTAAAGAGCTGCAAAAGAACATATAGCCTGGTCAGGGGTTGGTTAATAAGAGAGTACCAGATCTCTTTAAAGAATTTACCTGTGTGGTAAGCGTTTACACGTGCATGAGGAATAGGTAAAGAAATTAACATTTTAAGAGATACAGGAGCAAGTCAGTCTTTTGTGAGAGATTTGGAAGTATATACTTTGGAAGTAGCATTGCCAGAAAAGATGGTAATAAGTGAAATTCATGGTGAGAAAATTACTATTCCATTGTAGAAGGTGAGATTGGACAGTTGGGTGAATTGGTGGTAGGAGTAAAAGAGAAATTCTCTGTTATGGAGATATAGTTTATCTGGAATGATACAGCTGGATCACAGGTGTGAGTGATGCCTACAGTGATTGAAAAGCCAGTGGAAAATTGAGGTGTTACAGGAAGTATATCCTGATTTTTTTCCTGACTATGTGGTAACAAGATCATATTAACTACAGGTTGAAACAGGAGGGGAAATCAAAAAATAAAGACAAGGAATTTGAAATTCAATTATCAGAAACTCTGTTTGATCAAATGGTTGAGAAAAAACAAAAACAGGTAGAGGACAAAGTGGATACTTTTATTTCAGGAGAGGTTAGTTTAATTACAACAAAAAGGTGAAAAAAAAGACAAATATCAAAAAGCATACACAGAAGAAGAATCTGAGTGTATCCCAGAATGTTACTATCTTAAAAGTGAAGTCTTGATGAGGAAATGGAGACCATTACACATTCTGGCAGATGAAAAATGAGCAGAAGTTGTATTACCGCTGAGTTACAGAAAGGTGTTGCGGGTAGCATGAGGTATGAGTAGGAGGTTATTTGGGAGTAAGGAAAATTCAAGCCAAAATAGAAGAACATTTTCATTAGCCTGAACTGCAAAGACATGTCGTTAAATTTTGCCAGACATGTCACGCATGTCAGGTAATAGAACAATCTCAGGCAGTGATAAAACCAGCACCTTAATACCTATTCCTGCATTTGAGGAACCTTTCACAAGAGTCTTAACTGATTGTGTAGGACCCCTTCCGATAACAAATGTGGGAGTCAGTATTTGTTGACCATAATGGATATGTCTACTAGATTGCCGGAGGCCTTTCCATTACACAGTATCACAGCTAAAAGGATTGTAGAAGAGTTTCACAAATTTGTTTACTAGATATGGACTACATACAGAAATACAATTAGATCAAGGGTCAAATTTTACATCAGAATTATTCAAGAAAGTCATGGATAGCTTAAGAATAAAACAATTTAATTCAACTGTGTACCATTTAGAATCACAAGGAGCATTAGAACAATGGTGTTAAAATTTATAAGGCCTTGACATGGTCTTTAGTCAAAATTGGCCAGAGGGTTGGGATAAAGAAATTCCATTTGTACTTTTTTTGCCATTAGGGATGCGCCTAATGAATCAACTAAATTCAGTCCATTTGAATTAGTTTTGAACATGAGATGAGAGGACCACTGAAATTAATTAAGGAAAGATTGGTAAGTCAAAGTTCAGAGATCACATGTGGAGTATGTGTCAAATTTTAAGGAAAGATTAAATAGAGTGACTTGGCTAGACAGACAAAAAAAATCAAAAATTCGTAGTTTTGCTAGAGGAGATAAAGTGTTAGTATTACTATCAGTGGTAGGTGAACCTTTAAAAGCAAGGTTTAGTGGGCCTTTTCAAATCAAAAAGAAATTGAGGGAGGTGGATTTTTTTGATAAGAACGCCAGTTAGAGGAAAACTCTGTGTCATGTGAATATGCTCAAACGGTATTTTGATAGGGAAGGAAAAGGAGAATGTGGTAGTGTTACAATTTGGAATGAAGCACCAAATCCAGAAATATTTGAATTTGATGTTCCTCAAATTAAAGTGGGCCATGAGAAGTTCTCAAAGATTGGGATAAATCATTGAGTTACTTTCCAGAGGAAAATAGAAATGACCTGTAAGAGTTATTACAATCACTGGGATTCCCACAGATATGTGGAAATAAGCTGGCAAGTACTAACATGATTGCGCATGATGTAGCTATAGTAAATGCTGTTTCAACTAAGGAAGTTCCTTGTAGATTTAACATTCTAAAATTGGCACAGGTTCAAAGAGATTGAAAGCATGCTCAAAGACAATATAATCAAAGTAAGTTGCAGCGAATGGAGCTCACCCATAGTGATGGTGCCAAAACCAGATGGAACCCAATGTTTATTTGTCGATTACTGCAGAATCAATGCAGTTATGAAATCTGATTCATATCCTATTCCATAGCTGTAAAACTGTATTGACAAGTTGGGACAAGCAATTTGTATTTTAAAGCTGGACTTACTCAAAGAATAATGGCAGGTACCCTTATCCAAGAGTGTGAAGGAAATTTCGGCTTTGTGACAATGAATAGACTGTGCCAGTTCAAAATTATGCCATTTGGTAGGAAAAATGCACCAGCTACATTTCAAAGACTAACCAATAAAGTCATTTTGTGATTATACCCAATTGTGTGGTGTATAGACAATCTGGTGGTTTTCAGTCACACATGGAAGGAACATTTGGAGCATCTATCGGAATTGTTCAATCTACTTCAGAAGGCAGACCTGCCTAAGAGTGAGTTCGCAAAAGCCCAAGTCACGTAGCTAGGCCATATCGTTGGACATGGACAGATGGCCCCATGAGATGTGAAAACAATGGTTATTGGGGAGTTTCCTATACCTTTGACAAAGAGGGAAGCACTACGATTCCTGGGACTGAGTTTTTTTTATTGAAAATTCATACCAAATTTTAGCACGATGGTTGCTCCACTAATTTGTTGAAGAAATGCAGAAATTTTCAGTGGACGGAGGAATGTCAGCCCAGTGTAATCACATCTAATTACGCAAAGCTATTCAAAGTGGCTGTCGATGTGAATGTTTCTGGGTGTCGTGCTGTACTCTTGCATGAAAACAACAAGATAGAAAGATCTATTGGATATTTTTTCAGAATGTTGAATATTCATTAACAGAAAATATTCCACAATTCAGGAGACTTTGAGTTTGGTGTTGGCTTGCAACATTTCAACATTTCTGTTGCCAGCAATGTGTCTGAGACAATTACGTCTACTGATCGTAACGCCTTTCAATGATAAAAATACTAGACTGTATAGATTTTATTATTAGTCATTTAATTTGCAAATTATACACACGGCAAGACAAGAGAATATTATCGCCGACGTGTTGTCACAACTGTGATGAAGGAAGACAAAGCTGTTCGGTGCTGGAAGTAACAGATTAAAATGGACCATAATATTGAATGTTCCATGCTTAGAGTCAATGTAATGTATTATAGTGTACTAATAGAGTAAGGCGAAAGGTTTTTAAAAATGAAGTCATCTTTATATATCGATGGGTTTTTTAAAGGGGGAAGTGTGAAGTCACTGTGGCTTTAATAGGTGTATTTTGTCCTTTTTTTATGAAGGGATATTGAGACAGAGGTACTGAACAGTCTATTCTAAGTACTAAAGAGCTTTTGAGGCCTTGTTTTATTTTTAAATTTGAAATAGTAGAAGCAGTATGATTGGGTAGAGTCAGGCTCCCACAATCAGGGTTTTAGTTTAGCTTTCAGTAGTTCATTAAGTTTTGAAGCTGCCATGCATCCCTCCCTGATACAGCAAAACTGTTGTGTTCTCTCTGCCAGAATATTTTCTTGATGTTCTTTCCTGCTGGACTGGAGAAACATCACAAGTCATAGAATCCCTACAGTGTGGAAAAGAGGCCATTGAGTCTGCACTGACCCTCTGAAGAGCATCCCACCCAAACCCAGTCCCCCACCTGTTCACTGTAACCCTGCATTTACTATGGCTAATCCACCTAGCTTGCACATCCCTGGATACTGTGGGGCAATTCAGCATGGCCAATTCGCCTAATCTGCACATCTCTGGATTGTGTGAGGCATCAATTTTACTGAACTCGCCTTTGCCAAGCGCGTGTTTATGGGATGTCACTATATTGGAACAGTTGCCGTTTAGTAGTTAAATAATCTATTATTCTGTTAAGTTTTCCAAAACAATTAGTTATATCAATACTTCTTTCTTTTGTTTGTATTCTAACTATAGGGTAAGAATAAAATGTGTTTTGCTTAAAACTGAGTAGTGTAACCCATCAAATTACCTCTGGTGCACAACACCTTACATTTGCCTTTAAATAACAATAAGTTAAGGTCTAGGCTCTCTCCTTGGTATATTTGAAGAGGGTTTGGTCCATAACACTGAGTCTGTGCGCTTTACACCTCCCAGCATGGCAACAATGACGGATGTTGGTATGATCCCACTGGATGATTTGATGCCAGCTCGTGATCTCATTGGCCAAAGACCACAAACACACTGGAAGGTCAAGAGTGAGGGAGCGGTAAGAATACACACCTCTCTTGTAACTCTCCTTCAGCAGCACCTCTCAAACCCACCATTCTGTTCCTACTGCACTTAGGAGAACAAGTGCAGTAGGTACAGAATGGTGTTTCTATCATCTGCAAGTTCCTAAGTCAATCACCAGTGGAACTATACTGTACCTTTGTTGTTCCAGAGTCAGATTGTTGTAAAGGTATGAGTGGTGATCTTTCAGGAATCACTGCAGTTAGGGAGGGTACCAAAGTACTGGAAAATGGCTAATGTAACACGCCTGTTTAAGAAGGGTAAGAGGAACCTATAGACCAGTTAGACTGAATTCGGTTGTTGGTAAGATTTTTGAGTCCATTAAGGCTGAGATTGCAGAGTAAATGGAATGCATGGTAAAATAAGGGTGAGTCAGCATGGTTTCATTAAGGGGAAGTCATGCCTGACCCATCCGTTACAATTCTTCGAAGAGGTAACAAGCAAGTTAGACAGAAAGCCAATGGATGTGATTTATTTGGATTTCCAAATAGATGCTGCTAAATAGGATAGAGCCAATAGTGTTAGGGGCAGGTACTGGCAAGGATAGATTGGCTGACTGGTAGAAGCAGAGTGGATATAAAGGGGTCTTTTTCAGGATGGTAGCCAGTGACCAGTAGAGTTCTGCAGAGGTCAGTGTTGGGACCATAACTATTCATTATACATTAACAATCTGGATAAAGGAACTGAGGGCGTTGTTGCTAAGTTTACATACGGCACAAAGCTAGGTGAAGGGACACATAGTGTTGAGGAAGTGGGGAAGTTGCAGAAGAACTTGGACAGGCCAGAAGAGTGGGCAAAGAAGTGGAATGATGGAATACAATGTGGGAATGTGTGAGTTTATGCACTTTGGTAGCAAGAATAGAGGCATAAACTATTTTCTAAACAGGGAAAGACTTCAGAAATCTGCGGTTAAAAGGGATTGAGAGTCCTAGTTAGGATTCTCTAGGTTAACACATGGGTTCAGTTGGCAGTTATGGCAAATGCAATGTTAGCACTAATTTGAAGAGGGCTAGAACGCAACAGCAAAGATGTACTGTTAACGGTGTATAAGGCTTGGGTCAGACTGTATTTGGAATATTGTGAGAAGTTTTGGGCCTCATACCTATGGAAAAATGTGCTGGTTTTGGAGAGGGTCCAGAGAAGGTTACGAGAATGATCCCAGGAATCATATGAGGACAGGTTGGGGATCTTATTGAAGCTTACAGAATATTGAAAGGCCTGGATAGAGTGGATGTGGAGAGGATGTTTCCTCTAGTAGAAGAGACTAGGACCCAAGGGCACAGCCTCAAAGCGAAGGTATGACTTTTTAGAATTGACACGAGGAGGAATTTCTTCAGCCAGAAGGTGGTTAATCTGTGGAACTCACTGCCAGAGAAGGTTGTGAGGCCAAGTCATTGAATGTATTTCAGATAGACATAGATAGGTTCTTGATTAGTAAGGGAATCAAGGATTACGGAAAGAAGGCGGGAGAATGGGATTGAGAATGATACCAGCTGTGATTGAATAGTGGAGCAGACTCAATGGCCTGAATGACCTAATGGTCTAATAGCACTGTCAGTATAACTAACTTGAGATCCATGCAGTTGCTGACCAGCACTTTCTCAAGGGAAATTAGAAATCAACAATAAATACTAGCCTTGTTAACAATTTAGGGATGAATAAGAAAGACTAGTTCTGCACTAACTGAAAATGCACCCAACCTAGTGTGAACATCTACAGCATAACTTGTAAGATTTACGCTTAAAAACCCAGACACTGACTCAAGAGTCCAGTTGGAGAAGATGCCTTTCCCTCTGCTGAGCAGGAGAGCTTCCTGCCCCTCATAACCCAAAACCCAAGTCATCACTGAACTACCTACAAACAGAATCACCCTTTTTGAGGGGGAGAGAATGAGAAAAGAATTGATGTAAATTTGTGTTGAGCTTCAAGTATGTACAGTGACTACAAAATTGTTATGGTTGCTCAGCACAGTCACTGGTTTAGCAGTGCTTGCTATCAGTTGAATTAAATGACCACACTTATGACAAACACTTCAGACTCTGTCCTTGCCAACACGAACTCTGGATTGGGTTCTCTACCATGTGACTTAAGGGGAGACACACATGGACATGATATTCACTTGTGGGGGCATCAATGTTAAAAGAAGATATTCATACAAGCATATTATTGTATTGAATTGTCAGTATGGGTATGATTGGCCTGTAGTATAATGATAATGACTGCAGTGGAGTAACTGACACATAATGGGAGCATTTTCTTCTACCGTTCATTCTATTTACCAAGCACTGTTTGGAGAGGAGACAGACCAGTGACGATACTAACCATCACCGCTTATTATTATCAGTGTTTGATTCAAATACACAGGGATCCTGCTGATCTACACAACAGGCAGACAGAAACCATGGACATGGCAGCACGGATTCTCAAGTGTTTCAGGAAATCTAACTGAATTATCCAATCATCTATTAGGAGCACATCCATAAACACAACAGCAGTGTTTGAGATAGAACTTGTATTTGTATATCATCCTTCCACATCTAAAAGAAAACTTAGAATACTTCAACTGTGAAGAAATACATGGAATTTAAAGTGCAAGTCACTGAACTGTTTTGGGATGCAGCAGCTGTACAACACAGCAAGATCCCAAGGTAAAATTAATGTTTATGTAGAATCTATACATGAACTAGTAACTTCCGTTCTTCCAAAACTGCCAATGGAGCTGTATTGTCACGTTAACCACTGAAACAGTTGATACTGTGGTAAGATGGCAAATCCAACAATGCTCGCAGCTGTCTCTCAGTGCTGCTCTAGAATACTTCTGGCCCACACATTTTTCAGTGGAGTGTGAAAGTATAACTTTCCAGCATGGCGATAAGGATTGCTGCCAGTCTTATCAGACCAATTGGGCAGGCATACAAATCCACAGCCACAATGATCAGTCACCATACTCCACTGATCCCTAATGTCCTGTGCCCAAACGCCACTCCATCCTAATAGCCACACCCCCAAACACCGGCCAGTCCTGATCTCCACGCTCCACAAATGCCACCCAGTCCAGATATCTACCCCACCACTGCCCAATACCCCCCAATCAGATGCCCACTCTCTAGCCTAAATAAACACTCTCCAAACACCAGTCTGGCTATCCATCCTCCTGAAAAAAAACACCCAGTTCAGATACCCACCCACCCTCCCCAAAACATCAAGTTCAGATAGCCAACACTCCAGCCCCTGCAAACACTGCACAGTCATAATGTTTACACACACAGCCCCAAACACCATACAGTCATGGTATTCACCCCTGCACACACCACTTAGTCCTGATAATCAGTCTCTCAAACAGCACACAGTCCTTATAACCCCCATCCAAACACCATCCAGTCCTCAGAAACCCCAAAGACTGCATTGTCCTGATACACACCCCAACATCACTGAGTTCTGATCTTGTCCTTTATGTCCCCCATATGCATCACCAAGTTTTGATAGCGCATCTCAGGATCAGCACATTGCTACTTTCTTGATGGAAATTCTCTCCTTCCTCGATCTTTCCCTCCAAAGTTACGCACTCGGTGGATTTTCTGCAGTTGGTTCTGGACAGTCTCAATTATATCAATCTCATCTGGGATGTGAACATAACGTACATTTCTGCCAGTCACAAAGAAGTCATCCAGGTTTGACACTCTGCCCTGTCTGTCAGTGTATGTAACTTCAGCTAGCCGGATGTTCATGAATGCATCAACATTCACAAAGCGTCCTCTCACTGAGCTCTCGTCTCTAAGCTCCACAGTGGTAACGTGGTTATGTATCCCCTGGAGAAGGATGATGAGGCTGTTTTCTGCAATTGTTCGTTCTTTAATAGAATGGCTCAATGCCATGATGCTGGCTCACAAACTCTAATCAGTTGAAAGACGAGTACCAGACCTAACACAGTCACTCCAGCTGGTAGAACTGCATGGAAAAAAGAAACAGATCATGTGGACAGTTTTCATCTAATACACATTCATTTCAATTTTGTCAGGTCGCATCAGTGGTCAAATTCTGCCTTGATGTCAAGGGTGATCACTGTCACTTCCCTCAGCTCATGTACATGTTCAAACTGATTCTGTGTTCCATTAGGCTCCTGGATTAATACAATGAGAATTCACATGACACTGGGTTATAGTCCAACAGGTTTATTTGAAATCACAAGCTTTTGTGAGTCCGAGACAACAAGGTGCAGGGCTGGATGAACACAGCAGGCCAAGCAGCATCATAGGGGCAGAGAGGCTGACGTTTCGGGCCTAGACCCTGAGTCCTGCCCCTTTGCAGACTTTACCTGACGCTGCGTCGAAAGCTTGTGATTTCAAATAAACCTGTTGGATTATAACCTGGTGTTGTGTGAATTCTGACCTTGTCCACCCCAGTCCGACACCGGCATCTTCACATCATGAACACAGGCTCAGCATCATGATGAGTCGTGAGGGTTACTCACCCTCACCATTATTTAGGTAATCTGCCACTTGCTGATTTCCAAAGGCAGTTGGTTTTTATCTGCGTTGATCCTTAAGGGGCCCAATTACGGTCATTCATCCCATTCACTAACAGACAGCGAGTGGACACAGATCTCCCGAAGGGATGGTCAACCCATGGACACTGGTCCCTAAGTGTGGGGTAGTGAGCGGACACTGGTGTCCCGGGGATGGAGGCAGTGGACAGCCCGCACCCTCAAGGTTGGGATTGCCGATCCCGCTGAGCAAGCCCCCGGAACGCACAGGATCGATTCTCCGTTGAGTCACTCACCGTTCGCCGTAGACAACCCCACTGAGAAGGCCCCGTCTCCCGGGTAACGGCAACTTCCGTTTCGGGGCTGTGGGCGGGGCATGAGCCGGAATTGTGCAGTCGGTATCGCCCTGCTCCAGTAACGCAATGGGCCTCATGCCCGGAAGTGAAGGCACGTGACTCAGTTTCCTGGTCAGGGCTATTTGTATCAGAATGTAGTATTTGGGGATAGGCTCAATGAGGGAGATATAACCCATAGGAAGGAAACCAAGAAAACTTAGTCGATCGATCCAGAGCAAAGCTTCATCTGTTCTTTCCAGTGTTTGTAGGGATTCTATTCTAAATGAAGGCCAAACGTGGCGTTAATTAGTGTTAAAATGGAGGATATTTTGATCATTGGTCCATATTCAGTAACAAAATTCACATTACAGAATGTATGGTGCAGCATTTCATTTTCCCTGCAGCCTTTTAGGACTCCATATCAAGTTCAAATTTCTCCCACGTCTTTATACACCAAACCTAATTAACACATGGGCTGCTACCACAAAAAGAAACAGAAGGTACATGCCCCCATCTACACGAACGGAGATGAGGTTGGGAGGGTGAAGAGCATCAAGTTTCCTCAGAGTGACAATAACCAACGACCTGCCCTGGACTTCCTACATAAAGCAATAGTCAATAAGGCACAACAACACTTCTTCCTCAGGAAATTTGGCATGACCATAAGATCCCTCACCAATTTCTACAGATGCACTGTTGAAAGCATACTGTCCGGGTGCATAATGGCCTGATATGGCAACTGCTCTGTCCAGGACTGTAGAAAACTACAGAAGGTGGTGTGCACAGCCCAGACCATCACAGAAGCTAACCTTCCATCCATGGATTCTATTTACACAACTCACTACTACAGAAAGGCCAACATCAGCAAAGACCCATTGCATCCTGGTAATAATCTCCTATGACCTCTTCCGTCAGGCAGAAGATACAAAACCCTGAACACATGCACGAGCAGATTCAGGAACGGCTTCTTTCTGGCCATTATCAGACTGTTGAATGGACTGTAGCCGCAAATAACGTAACCTGTATGCTTCTAAGTCTTTTTGATCTGTACATCCTTTGCTTGCTGTGAACTGCCTGTACCGCTTGTAAACAAAGCTTTTCACTGTATTTCAGTACACGTCACAATAACTCAATCAATCAAGCAAGATAGGAGCAGGAGGAGGCCATACGGTCCTTCAAGCCTGCTCCACCATTCATCACGATCAATGGCTGATCATCCAACTCAATAGCCTAATCCTGCTTTCTCCCCAGTCCTATGTCTAGCTGCCTCTTGAATTCATTCAAAGTCCTACCATCAACTACTTCCTCTGGTAATGAATTCCACAGGCTCACCACTCTTTGGGTGAAGAAATGTCTCCTCATCCCCGTCCTAAATGGTCTGTCCTGAATCCTCAGACTGGTTCTCGACATACCCACCACTGGGAACATCCTTCCAGCATCTACCCAGTCGAGGATTTTATGATCTGTAATGAGATCCTAACCTAGTCAATCTCTCCTATGTCAGTCCCGCCATTCCCGGAATCAGCCTCATAAACCTTCACTGCACTTCCCTTGACAGCAAGAATATCCTTCCTCAGGAAAAGAGACCAAAACTGCACACACTATTCTAGGGATAGTAGGAACTGCCGATGCTGGAGAATCTGAGATAACAAGGTGTAGAGCTGGATGAACACAGCAGGCCAAGCAGCATCAGAGGAGCAGGAAAGCTGACGTTTCGGGTCGAGACCCTTCTTCAGAAAT